GCCAGAAAACAAAAATTCTGTTTTGCAAAATCTGGTTTTTGGTCCAAACAACACAATCGAGACCTTTCCAAACTTTGAATGGAAAACACCAGAAAGGCAGACCCAATGCCAAAGTAGCCAATAGCCCCTTGGTTAGGACACTCACCTCCACAATTAGGCAGAGGAGGGACAGAGGTTTCAATGAACTGATATTTTATTAAGAAAAACATGTAATCAAAACACTCTCGGCCAGACCTATAAGCAGTCACCTAATAGAACATAATGGCTTTGGAACTCCAAGGCTGCTCAAAACTCCATAGCAGAGCCCTTCCTTTGCCCCAAAACTACATGCTCTCTCCACCTAAGCTAACAGAGACTTTCCATCAGGCCTGTGGTACAAGGCCTATGGCAACCAGGAGCAATTCTGATTCTACCGGTTAGCCTTTTGTGTGCTTAGCTATTAGTACATTGCAATATAGACCAGATTAAGGTATGTTTTCTAAATTATTGATATTTCATTGAGATTAACAAAGTCCAAGAGAAGCCGAAGCAAAATGCAGGACAATGTAGCACTTTAAAGACTAACAAGAAGGTTTATTAGATGATGAGCTTTCGTGGGCCAGACCCACTTCCTCAGAAGCCAAAAGACAATGAATACACTAAAAGATCTCCAAGATCCTCCCCATTTTATGCAGAGACACTAATTTCACATCATTTAGGAGGCTGCTTCCTCTCCTACCCATTTTAAGTGTCTATGAATGGTCTTGGATTGCTAGCTCAAGGATACAAAATAGAAACAGCTCCACGTCAACTGAGTTTTGGAATTCACTGGTTTACTCACCTTGCATTTAGTTTCCATTTATACAGACATACCAAGAACCGAGAAAACAAGGTAGACTTGTGTAATGGCTCGCAGGTCGTGCCCACACTTGGTTGCTCCGCTCCAGTGTGGTGACCCTCTCGTGGGGTGCCCACTCCTCTCCAGCGGCAGTGAGACAGCCCTTTCTCAGCGAGTCCACTCCAGTGCAGCGACTCTACCTGGGGGTCTGCTCCCCGCCTCCGGGAGGGCGCCTCTCAGGGCCTTCAGCCACCTGCCTCCGCCGTGAGCCCTTTGGGGGGGCCTCTCTCTCCGGATCCCCAGGGCCTCCACTCTCGGAAGGAATAGCGCCACCCTGTTCTCTAGACCAGAGCGACTCTCAGCCACCTCAAAACACAAGGGTTTATTGCGCTTTGAACACAATAAGGGGTCTCTCAGGAGGGCCTACACATCAGTCTCCCCTGCAGCTAGCTGAGTCCTGCCTGCTCTGCCCTCAGTCCCCCAGAAAACAGCCCCCAGGCTCCCAGCAGAGCCTTCAATATCCCCAGCAACAACCCCTCCCCACTCCATTGTCTTCTTTCCAGGTAAGAGGCTCGCCTGGGCCTCTCTTTTCTGCCTTTTCTCTCCTCTGTCCAATGTTCTCCCCTCCCTGGAATCAGCTGGGCCGGCCACTGGGGTCTCCCCTCTGCAGCCCCATTGTCTGTCTTCTGGCCAGAACCAGCTGTGTCCTCTGAGCAGGGCCAGGATCACCAAGGTACCAGACACCATGGCTCCAGTTCTGGGCTGTTCTCTGAACAACAAACTCCCCACCATAGTCATATTAAACCAGGTGCCCCCCTGTATGTAACCACCCAAAACTCCCCACTTCCTCACAACTTGGCATGGAGTTATTTTATTTACCAACAGGACAACTCTTGGTTGTTCATTCACACACAGAGTTCTCTTTGGGGCATTTCTTACTACCTGCAGCAATTTCAGAGGCATATCCTTTTTTGCAGGGTCCAGGCTGCTTCCCCTTGTTTCCTCTGTATATCCCAGCAGTTTCACTACTACATTCCTATTTTTTCCCCCATATTGTTCTCTGTTGCCCAAAGTCCCCCACGGTGCTAATTGGGCCTGTATTAACTGTGTGCTTAACCATGAAAAGTCAAAGTTTGTAAAATGTCACAATAACTGTCCCCATATATTGATGGGGAAAGATGCATAACGGAGACAGAAAGACCGATATAGCCCAAACAAAAAGGATTCCCATTGTTATTCAAGGATCATATTAAGGTAACGCCTTACAAAGATATTTTGGAATTGGAAATCAATGAATGAAATTAGCATGCTGGAAGCCAGGTCTAATTGCTGGACAAAATAATGAAAGGACAGTCTATCCTATCCCTTTTGGATCCTTAAAGAAAAATTTGGGGAGAAATGTTTGATATTGGACGCTCTGTTGACCTGCCTGGCAACCTTTTTGAACTTCCCTGTTCAGGTGGTCCAAGGATCCCTTTCCAGACTACACTGTTGCAGCTTGCTTGAACTTTCACACCAGGGTTGTGCCATATTCTGGTATTAACAGAACAGCACTTTCAGGTTGAATGCAACACAGGTAAATACGCATTTCTCTCTTAAACCTTTTACACATTCCTGAGTGCTCAACCACAGCCAGAATAGGACGACTAGGTTGCTCGCCATAGTACAGAGATTAGAATTCACGGGTAGACCCTCTATAGCCTGCAAATGAAATGTCACTGGGTAGGATACCACTGGGTTAGTTAAAACAGTTGCCACTGTTGTGCCTCAGCAAACGTTTTCTAATACTTTAGGTATTACAAGTAAATATATTTAATACTTCAGCAAGGCCATTTGCTAAAACCCTGACAGTGCAAAATAATTGCTTTCCCCTGTCCTCTGGATACCATAGTGCTAGTTGATGCTATTACCTAAATCTCAACTTGAATCTGAAACTATTCTGCAAGGAGTATATTAAAAAGTGCAGCTGCTAAGCAATACTTTCCAAAACTGAACCGGAGCTGCTCTCCAACGTATGGAACCGTGGGCTGATCTTGGAGCAGATAAGACATTTTGGGCCACATTCACTGTGGCCACTGAAGTCAGCAATGTTAGCCATCTGTATTCAATGGGAAGCAGAGGTCCACAGATGGTATTTGGCTAGCACGAATATCGCACTACATTGCAAACCAGTAAGTATACACAAAATAAAGGCTTATAACAAAATACAACTGTCACAATACACTTGGCATGTTACAATTACAAAAAATTCCAAGAGTTGTCTCTCAAGTTGTCCCTCAGAGAGAGTGCTTTAAGAAAACCTAGAGGATTAGCCAACATATTTAATTCTTCTGGATAATTAAAGGAAGCACTGAAACAGGGACCTCCTCCACCTGTTTGGCCAGAGGAATGACCAGAAATGATTAAGGTGATTAGGGAACTAAAGGGCTATGTCTAAACTGGCAAGTTTTTCCACAAAAGCAGCTGCTTTTGCGGAAAAACTTGCCAGCTGTCTACACTGGCCGCTTGAATTTCCACAAGAACACTGACTTCCTACTGTCTGAATCAGTGCTTCTTGCGGAAATACTATGCTGTTCCCGTTTGGGCAAAAGTCCTTTTGCGCAAAGCTTTTGTGCAAAAGGGCCAGTGTAGACAGCTCAGATTTGTTTTGCGCAAAAAAGCCCTGATCGCGAAAATGGTGATCGGGGCTTTTTTGCGCAAAAGCACGTCTAGATTGGCACGGACGCTTTTCCGCAAAAAGTGCTTTTTCCCAAACGGAAAACTTTTCCATTAAAAGCATTTGTGGAAAATCATGCCAGTCTAGACGTAGCCAAGGAGTCCCAAAGGGAAGGCTATTTTTCAGGAAACCTAGGCATTAGCAGGATCACTGCCTTCCAACAGAGCAGGCCCATCTCGGACTAGGAAATGTTTTTCTTTTGCTGTTTGTGATTAGTGTAACTGGGCCCGTGAGACCTATCTACCTACAACAAACTCATCATCAGCCCTGCAGAGTTAAGTAAAGCCTGGGTAAAGGTTCTAAGACACCTGTCAGGGATGATCTAGACAGTGCTGGCAGGGGCCTGGACTCAATGACCCTCGAGGTCCCTTCCAGTCCTAGGATTCTAATAATCTCCCCCCAAACAGCATTTGGAAGGCATGTCAGAAGAGCAAAGAAAATGACTGGTGGGGAAGGTTGTGGAAACAGCTTTGAGGCTGGCTTTTAATGTAGACGCTCACAAGGAAAGCATGGAGCTGCTAAAGCAGCCTGAGGGAGACAGGGAGTATCTCAGCTTGCTAAATAACCCCTGTTGGAGCCATCGGACAGTGCCCTGGTGTACACAGAACCGGGCAGAGAGGGAAAACAGTCTCTGCCTCACAACAAATAATGACTCAATCTTGCAATGCAGAGAATCCCTTTAATTCCCTTTCATTCCAGAGGGGACATGTGGGATATCAGCACCTTACAGGATTGGGTCCTTGCTTAATCCTAAGTATCTTCCCTTTAAATACTGTGGCCTGGGATCTAGGTCGATCTCCCTGGATACTCCTATCATTTTACTGCACCACAATTATCTAAAGCACCTCACAAATGTTAATTATTTTATCCTGACACCAACAGTCTAGGGAAACACTATTTCCCATTTTCTAGACAGAGAACTGAGGCATGGAGCGATTAAGTGACTTGCCCAAGGTTACCCATGAAGTCAGAGGCATAATCAGGAACTGAATGCAGGCCTCTTAAATGCCAGCCCTATTTCTTCACCTCAAAAGCTCACTTTTGGGTGCTGTGGGAAGATTATTTTTCTTGGGAGTGGTGTTTTAAATTGTAAAAACTGTGCAATTAAAAATAAATGTTACCAACTTCTATTACCCTAGCAGCATTTTATTAAATCATCTCCTCCTGCATGTATAACTGTGCATAAAGTTTGGAATAGCCAGCATTTCTAGAACCACAGTTGTATCACACGTAGGGCCAACTACGCTTACTTGCCTGTAAAGTTTGATGGAGCTAGTTCTGCATGGATACTGTTGGAAAAGCATGTAGGGATCCTTTGAAGAGAAAGAGGCTATAGAAATGTAAATTAGTGTTTTAGTAACAATAGAAATTTTTGCCAATTAACTTTAATTTATGTTGCCACATGCCCGGGTCACCACATGAGAACACGACCACCCCTGGATACAAAACAAAGTGAAAAGTTCCAGGTCAGAGATGCACCACTGAAGATTTTATTATACATTGAATTCCACTTCTCATCTCACAGGACATCCACCTTGCAGGACATTTACACAGACTTTAGTCTGCTCACACTGGAATAGAGGATATAGTCACTCTTACCCCAAAGACATTAATTTTGTTCCAGTGTAACTCTCACCCATTTCTCACATGCCCACATTTGTGGTGGTGTTTATTAATAGCGGTGAAATTAATACCTGTAGCCCTTTGTGTTTAAAAACAAAGCTAATCAAAACCTATGGGATCCACAGCAGCATCAGACTCTCCACCTGACAGACAAAAGATAATCAGCAGCTCGTTTGTGTTCAGCCATCTACCACATCATGTATGTGTCCAATGCATGATGAAATTATGAATGAAAAGAAAAAAAAATCCTATTGCTGCTGTAATGGGGGTGGATTTCTAGGCACTGGGAATATCAGTTTCTTCCTCAAGGTGTAGGCTGGTTGAGGCATCTGTTTCTTTCTCCCCAAGTTGTCGGCACGTTTGCTCACATCTTCATTGACTTCAGTAAGAATTGACAAGATGTCTTCACCTCTAGAGCCAGAGAAAAGACAAGATCTCTGATCAAACAGAATCACTAACCGATTCACAGAACTAATGCCATAATCACACTAACCCAGATTAAATACTTTTCTGAATTATGAGGCGCTAGAAGACTTATCTGAAGTTTCTCGGGTCCTTCAGGGCAGGGAACTGTGTGCGCGCGCGTGGGGTGTGTGGATGCATGAGTCAGGGTAGCAGCTTAAGGATGTGCAGGGCAAGGGACCAGGCATGCAGGAGTCGGGGTTGGGTGGCAAGGAGGGGTTCAGGGCAGAAGGTGGGAGTGCAGGAGTCAGGGCAGGGGGATGAGAGTGTAAGGGGCTTCAGGAGACGGGGTGCAGGCTGTCAGTGGCTGCTCCCTGGGGCTTGAGCACTTGCTGCCCCCATGATCATTCTGGAGTATAACTGTCCCTGCTATCACTTCCTTTCCGTTCGATGAGAAAAATCACATTCCACACAACCCTGACCTTGCTTTAAGTTATGGTAAAAGGAAACTGCCTACAAAATGTGGTGGTCCTAGGTCTTGCTGTTGAGGAGTAGTTCTGGAACAAATGAACTCACAGATGGATGCACAGACACACTCACAAACTCTCTCAAATATATATAGTAGATTGAGACTAGGAAAGCCACTATCCCACCAGTAAAATCAACAGCAATTCTCTCTGATTTCAATTGTGTCCTGACTCAGAGACTCTCTCATACACACATTCTACTTGTGATAGAATGAACTGCCGCGTGGAGAGAGAGAGAAAACACAACTTCATGAGCAAACGACTCCAATTAACCAGTCCTGTCAGTGGCTGCTAGAAGTGTGAGGGTGTGGACAGGTGGTGGGCAAACTGCAGCCTTCAGGATTCTGCGTGTGGCCCAAGAGATCATTTGTTTGCTACTGGCCTTGCGCAGGATTGCCGGATTCTGCTGGTTTCCATTGCGTAGTCTTTCGCCTCCCAGTATTACTAAAGTGACACACACGTAAAACAAGGACATGTGAAGTGAAGCACATGCTGATTGCACACAACACTGTGAGAGCCATGTGCGCCCTGTGCATCCAATCAAAGTGCTGCTATGGTTCAACTGACACCCCCACAAATTTTAGGTACGCAAGTGCAGTTAGCAAAACTACCCTATTCCAGGAGATCTTATTGGTTATGACAATCTCGTGGCCCACTGAGACGAAGGAGGGCCACTCGTGTCCTACTCACTAGCCTAGGTTGTCCATCACTAGTTTAGACTATATTAACCAACCCAGCTCATTCCAGAGAGGAAGAGACACAACTCCCAAAATAAAGGGAAGCAGAAGGAATGCCAAGATGGAAAATAGATCCATAAAGGGACAGGAGGAGAAGATTCACCTTGGGACAAAGGTACTGATTTTGGGGAGAATTGAGTACAGTCTAGGGCCTACCTCCTTAGGAAATTCTCAACTTGCCAGAGAGGCAAGAGCTATAGGGAAATGGAACTAAAGATTTTGAGCGTAGATGATGATAAACTACTAATACACCCCTTACATAAGTATTCCTACATTTTCCCAGACAGCTTGTCTTCTATATGTGCATAAAATTGGGACCAAGACACCCTCGGATGCCAGAGTGTATTTACAGCACATTGTATTAAAGAAGAGGAGACAATCATGAAATAACAAGAGAAAAGTAAAGTAATGACCTAAATCTGTACTCTTGCACCAGATTGATCTCTTGTGACCCCATTCAAATCAGCGAGGTTACACAAGGGAGGAAGTTTGCACCCTCTCCCCCCGATGCTGGCCACTTATAGCAAGGAAACCTAATCAAGAGTTCCTCATAGCTGGACTCATGCACAGACATCATGCACTTTACTGCAACACCAGGCAGCAGCAAAGAAACATCACCTGCAAGACTGTAGCATTTTCTGTTATTCTACCATAGCATCTAGAAGTTACTGCGTCGGTATATAAAGCCAGACTGCTTCATTCAGAACTACCCTCACCCCCCTTAAGCTGGCCATTCATACAGAAACAGATCCAAAATCCACATGGTCTGTGGTTTGCAAAACTAAAATTGCGCTGATTTGACCACCAGAGAGACGGGGTAGAACCACATACTGCCATCTGAACCCACTCAAAAGGAGAACGTGGACATGAAGCAGCCTAGAGTCGGTTTTGAGTTTGATTTGGTAAAATTAAAACCCAGCCCCCTCAGACTATCCTAAGGCTTTGGTGCTGCAAACATTTATGTTAGTTCACAGGGGAGAAGCTAAACAGATGACCAGTTTTAAACTAATTTAAGTGTGTCCATGTAGGAGTTAAAAAAAATAAACTAGTGCAAGTTTGAAAGTGGACAAGCCTTCAGCCTTAGCAGCCTTGTTAATCTGGCACCAAGCATCTTTGGGGGGGCCTCCAGGGAATGATTGTAAAAAGTGTGGGAGGAGGGGAGAGGAAGGGAGGGTTGGTCCCCAGCTGGAGCAGGACAGGGAGTGGGGACAGGAGCATGTGGCAGGGGAGGACTGGTCTCCCGATGGAGCAAGGCAGGGGCTGGGGGAGGGGGGGGTAAGAGCACAGTGGGGGGGGGGCCAGGGGCTATTTCTGGAGCGAGGGAGGGCCTGGGGATAAACACAGCAAGGCTGGGGAGGGGGAAAACGAGATTCCCCCATCCACTCAGAGCTGATGCTTACTAGGGATATTAAAAGGTGGATGAATCGCTAATCATGTAGTTGATAGAATTTTTGTTGTCTAATCGTGTAGTCAATAGCAGTTTGAATGTAGTAAGTTTAAATGTAGTTTAAATGTAGTAAAAGCTGGGTGGGCAGGCTGCCCAGCCTGCGCTTCATTTAAACTGCAGAGCTGCATTGGGAGTTGATCCTGGACCTGGCACTGAGCCAGGCTTGCACAGTCCCAGCTCGTGCAAGGTCCAGCAGCCCCTGTCCGTCCGTCTGTGTGTGTCCCACCTCCCTTCACCGCAATCCCTCACTGCCACTATCAGAGGCAGCAGCATGGGGGTGGGGGCAAGTGGCATCGCAGAGAGGAGGTGCTGGGGAGAGGGAGGAACTGGCTTTTAAGCTGGCTCCTCCCAGCACTGGCTCCTGCTTCTCCCCATCCCTTGCTGCCTCTGATACAGAGGGACCATCACTTTTTAAAGTGGGAGAGCTAAGCGTTAAGGGAGCAGGAGTGGGGGTGGGAAATAAGTGGTGGATGGGGGTCGGCAGGGGAAGAGAGGAGCAACTGGGCAGTCTGCTGTGCTGCTTGTGCAGAGACACCACCAGCTGATCCCATTCCATTGTTTCCAACCTACATCTATCCCCAGATGGGCTGTCCTAGAATCATAGAGCTGGAAGAGACCTCAGAAGGTCATCAAGTCCAGCCCCTGCTCTAGGCAGGACCAGTTCCAAGGATCCCTGTTCCCAGCCCAATCCCGGGGTAGGGGGATCTCTGAACTCAGTGCTCCCCCTTCCTCTCCGACTCACACCTGATGCCAACCAAGTGTGAGCGGCTCAGGGTCTCGGTGCCCCACTTTGCTGCTGCCCCTTCCTCTGCTGCCGCAGCCTCAGCACTGGGCAGCAGCAGGGACTCGGGCTTCCTGACCCCAGGGAAACATGAAGTGACTGTGGACTCTCTGCCAGGATCCTCTCCAAGCCCCCTCCCCTCTCTAGTAGGCTGCCTGCATGCCAGTGAAGCGAGGGGTGTATGTGTGTGTGTGTGGGGGGGGGGGGCATGTTTGGAGATGAGCTCTCAGCCAGTGACAAGCTGAGAAAGGATGAAAGTGTTGGCGAGGAGAAGCCCTGAGTCAGCCAGGCAGGAGCACAGAGCAGAGGCCAGAAAGAGGAAAGCCTGTGCTGAAGGGGGAGAGAGCGTGTGGGGCAGGAGGGCCCCTTGCTGCGCTGGGGCCCGGGGCCAATCAATCGCACCTTTGGCTCCACTGAAATCCAGCACTGAGCCTGAGGTGAGCAAAAACTTCAGCAGTCACTCCCGTTTCTCCACCCTCTAGGGTACAGCTTGTCTACTTGGCATGTTACTGAACAGGATGCCAGGGGCAAAATCTACAGCACGCCAGCTTACCATGCAGTAGTGTCCCACGGACACTGCTCCAGTGCAGTAAAATCTCAGCGTACAAGCACACACGTTACACTGTCGAGCACTAGTGCACCAGCCCACACTCCTGGACTTGCACTACAGCGCAGCAGTGTCTACATGGGATTTTACTACACAGCAAGCTGGTGTGCTGTAGATCCTCCTTCTGGCATGCCACACAACAACCTGCCAGGTATGCAGGCCTATGTTATTAGTAAGTTCTCCCCCTCAAGCCACACAGAAGGATTACCTTGGGACCAAGAGCTGTAACTTGTTGCAAAGGGCTTGAATGTACCAAGTACCCTGCTGTATGTGGCGGAACGATGCATAACCATCCACCGTGGCCATGCCAAGGAGGAAATCGGCTTCTTCCGGAATGCTTTCGGAAGGGGAGACTCGCTGCTGTATGGGAAGCAAATCAGGATTCTGTGCATCTGCTTCAATGTAGACTGCCTGTTGTATCTCTTTGCCTTGACATGCCTGAATAAAAAAGAGCTTGGGTTTTTCAGCCAGCTGTGGGCATTGCCTGGCCGTGAAGTAGGACATGATCCTGCGGATTGGTACTTCTTGCTCATCTGCTCCATAGATGGATCCTGACTCTCCGTGAGACAGAATGCAGCATACAAAGCAGTCCCTGTCTCTGTGATCGTTCCAAGTCCGCCATTCTTGCATGAGATTTTCTATCTCTACTGATGTCTGATCAGGATAAGTCTTCACATCCAGACCAAGCCACGTAAACACTCGTGCTAGGGACTCTGTTATTTAAAAAAAAAATTAAAAGAAAGCTGGGGAGGACGCGAGAATAATATAACCCCAATATAAAATTCCTACACAAGCTAAGTTGAAGAGTAACAGACTACACAAAGCTGCACTTACAAACAAACCCACATGCTACAAAAGATTTGAGACTAAACAGAACAAATGGAACCTAAGCTAGCACAATCATGGTCAGACAATAATATGTCTGAGGTTTTCATGCCAGAGTTTCATAAAGCAAGGCCTGAGGTCTACGGGCCCTTTTGAGTGTGTGCACTCAACGAGATGAGTAAAACCGAGATTCCTGGTAGACATTGGATACTCTTTTGCAGAATTTCAGGTTGGGTTTGCTCCCAGTACCTCCAACCCCGCTCATTCATACTAGTAAATGGAGACCTTGGAATACTACAGAATTTGGAGAATTAAGAGAGCAAGTGAACCAACGACAAATAAAAAGGACAGACCATTACAAAAAAATCGACATAACAAGAAAAACGAAAGGGTCTGACTTGGATCTCATTTACACTAGCATTGGGCATTAGGAACAGATTGACTGTAGTCAAAGGGGCTAAACCACCCCAAAACTTAGATGTATAAGGGTATGTCTACACTACCCTCCTAGTTCGAACTAGGAGGGTAATGTAGGCATACCGCACTTGCAAATGAAGCCCGGGATTTGAATTTCCCGGGCTTCATTTGCATAAGCGGGGAGCCGCCATTTTTAAAACCCCGCTGGTTCGAACCCCGTGCAGCGCGGCTACACGGGGCACGAACTAGGTAGTACTAGTTCAAAGTACTAGTACTAGGTAGTTCAAAGTACTAGTACTAGGTAGTACTCATTCACGAGGAGTAACGGTAGTTCGAACTAGGAAGCCTAGTTCAAACTACCTAGTTCGTGCCCCGTGTAGCCGCGCTGCACGGGGTTCGAACCAGCGGGGTTTTAAAAATGGCGGCTCCCCGCTTATGCAAATGAAGCCCGGGAAATTCAAATCCCGGGCTTCATTTGCAAGTGCGGTATGCCTACATTACCCCGCTAGTTCGAACTAGCGGGGTAGTGTAGACATACCCTAAGGGACTATAGTTTTCTTTTTGTTTGTACAGCATGTAACACAAGACCCCCCTGACCTAGATGGCCTCTAAACACTGTTGCAATATGCACATTCAAGAATGTATCAACAACACATATTTTTCCATTGTTAACAAGTCACCTCAAAGAGATAAATCATAAGTTCAAGTCACTTTTATCTGTGAATTACCTCAGTTTACACTAAGCTTCTACAAATAAGAGAGACAAAATTATTAATAGTTACATACAATGGATGTCACATTTAATATAACAGGGGTTCAGTGCTCTAAGAAAACGAACCAACATATTTCTCTTATGACAGATCTAGTAATAGTAACTCCTGTGGAAGTTTTATTTTGGACACTCTTAGAATTACACAGTGATAGAAATGTAGCCGTGTTAGTCTGGGGTAGTTGAAGCAAAATGCAGGACAATGTAGCACTTTAAAGACTAACAAGATGGTTTATTAGATGATGAGCTTTCGTGGGCCAGACCCACTTCCTCAGATCAAAAAAAAAAAAAAAAAAGAATTACACAGAGAGTGGTTGCACTGATAAAGATGCCACTGCAAACTCATTCCTGTCTAGTAATCAATCTTGTGTTTAGTTTCCCTCCCCCTGCCATGATAAAATTCTACAAGTGGCATTTTTTGGCTTGTATAAGTATACACTGCTTATAAGAATATACTTAAAATACGAGCTAATAAAACCTACGTGGGCATTAGTAGTAGAACCCATGAAGATGCAGAGCAGACCCTAAATCAGAAGTGACTTACCAGCATCTTTACAAGATCCTCTCCTCTCCTGAAGAGTCCCAATAAAGTTTGAATTATTAATAATGAGGCAATAACCTCTGTGTGGCCCATCCATTTTATAGATTATTGGCTTCTGTTGACAGGAAGGAGAAAGACACTCACAGCTTTTATGCTGGAATTATATTTTTAAGATGACAATCTATTGCCTTAAGATTCAAGGGTGCAATCCACCTGCGCGGTTACTATTTCTGTATTCCCTTCCCTCCTCCCCTCCCCCCGGTGTTTTCAATCTCTGTACTGCCTAGAGTTTCTGGAATCCCCTTTTTGCTGTCCTCCCATCCGCCCCAAAAATATTGTCCTCTGTGATTTAGATATATATCATTAGAGGAAGGGAAGAGGCCGTACTCTTCTCCTATAATGCTTTAAAAATGAACCATACAGTGATATTTAGCCTTGCTTAAAAGCCATAGACATTTTGCAGCTTATGTAATACAAAGGTATGCTAAAAAGTGGGACTACCAGGCTAAGTTTAGAAGTGATATTATTGTACTATCAACAATAATTAGTAGTGAGGCAAGGACTCAGCCTGTAACAGAGTCAGACACCAAGATTTTCAAAGTCACCAGCGATTTGAGATGCTTCCAATTTTTAAGCTCCCAATCAGAGAAACCTTAAGGAGGCTGGTTACGTCAGGAAATGCTGATGCTCACTCTAGTGATCAGACCCAAAGTTTGAAATAAAACCCACATTCACTAGTCGCTTTGGAAAACGTCGCCCTCGGGCGTGTCGTTCTGTATGAGGAGAGAGATGTGGAGCGCCAGGCAGATTTCAGGACCTTATCACATCTGGCTCTGAGCATGAAAAGTGAGCACGTGGGGCAGGGCTTAGCAACTGAATTCCACATTTGGTAGAGAGTTGGGGGTAAATAGTCTTGAGGGGCCAGGAACAGATTATTTCCACCTAGTAGGAAGATTAGCTTGAACCCTTGGCACTGTGAAGTCACAGACACATCGATCCCCAAACTTGTCTCCCAGGGTTAGCAGGTATAGGTGGCTCTTGTGCTGGGAAAGAAAACTGGCAGAACAGGGCCCTCTGAAGCCACAAGTCTGGCACATGCTTAGGGCTGACCCTTCGTCTCAAATGTGACTAGGGTAAAAACTAAAAAATCAGTTTGTCGCCAAATAGCATCTCTCTAAATCTACAACTCATCCTCAAGATTATGAAGAGGAGAGTCTTTTAAAAAGAGCAGGCTTGACTCTGCTCCCAGTTACAATAGCTTCATCTTACTGACTTGATAATGGAGTGACTCCCCATTTAGTGGAAACAGAATCAGGGTCAGTGCTTTGCGCTCCTTCAGTGTCCAACTGCACCATTTCTAGTACAGGGCAGAAGACATCAGTTGATGTTGCTGATGCACCAACACAAATATTTTGGTATAAGAATTTTTAGGAGCTGAAGCAGTTAAATAAAAAGGGCAGCATTAATTCCTCCCCTGCCCCACCCCGAAAGCCGTCTATTTAAACCAGAGGGAAGAAGATAGGAGGGGGGATCCCAATGGGTGTCTGTTGGTATGAGGGGAAAAGAAAAGTATATCAGGATTCTGAGGAGATATTAAGAACAGTGGAAAACATGGCACACTGACTTTTAAGATGAGCTCCAAACCCTCAAATGATTGATTAGAGCCAGGAAAATATTTTGGAGATTACCTCGATTTTGTTTTCTGGGTCACTGGTCCTGGCAGGTTGTGCTTCTCTCAGTTCAGAGATGCCATGTGTAACATTTACTGCTTTGTCATCTAGAAAAAAAAATTATACAAATGTTTAGAGGGGTGAAATCAACTCTCTGTAGAAGCACCAAACCAGAGTTCTACTAAAATGCAGCACTTTTAGTATAATAGCACTATAATAATAATAATAATAATAATAATAATAAAAGGAACAGTTAAAATTCTGTAGTCCTCTACTTGTTACTGTCCAACTGGCCTGTCCTTCCAAGCCAGGGAAACAGAACATAGCATCTCTCAAGGGGCATTTCAGGAGCTCTCCAAATCTGTTTGCTCCTGCCCTGAAAATTCATTCATACTCTCTTTACTTTTACGGAATCAGCAATAATAACCACGAAAAATAAAAATACAGATCTTAAGACAGACCTTGTCTGGCAGCTATGAAATGCACACTCTCAACATGTTCCCGCAGACTCCCAGACTCTGAACTATAAGACTCTACAATAGCAAGAAAGATAGAAATAAAGTTGAATCACAGGCCCACAAAATTAACAATTTGACATTACAGTAGTTATTACAGTAACAGTCGTAGCACCTAATTTCATGGCATTTGTGTATAATTAAAAGGAAAGCATGTTGGCTATTTCACTGTCACAAGTGACAATCCACAACAGGAGAGATTTGCTGATTACCTGTCACTGTTCTCTAAATGTGAGTAGCTAACCCCCAAACCAGTTTGTGCCAATGGGAAAAGAAATAAAACAACCTCAAGCAAATCAAATTATGTTAAAACTACGGTTGTAAACAGAGCCTTCAAAATTTTCTGGAGTAAATTAAAACAACATAGAAACATATCAAACTAGAAATAGATGTAAAAAACCCACTTTTCAGAAATACTTACCATAAATTTTAGAACCCAGAGATTTGACAGGGGTCTCCTATATGAAGGAGGAAAAGAGGAATAACCACATTAAAAAAATAAATATAATACAAATCAATAAAATAGATTTTAATAATTTTAACAGAAAAAAGACTTGATAAATGTCAGCAACATGTGGTGTTTTGGAAAAAAATAAGGGGAAGCAGAGAGCAGCAAGACAGAGCCAAGGGCAACAATGTGTTTAGAGGTTTAGTGGCCAGACATTTCACAGCTGCAGCAAACGCATCAGAGGTGAACATCTAGAGGAGGGTACGGCCGCAGAGTGGGTTTCGTTTTCGGGGAAGCCCCTTTCCAAAAGCATAGATGGCATCCTTCAGTGAAACTACACTTCCATTGAACTTATAAGTGGTCCCTGCCGTACACACAATTGCACAAAGGAAACACTTAGCACACTGAAGTCAGCAACAAAACTTATTGAGGTCCATGGTGCCAGCAGTTCTCCCAAGGTAAACATTCCCTATAGTGCAGGAGCATACAAATTACCATAGCAGAGCAAAACAATTTCTGTATAGTTTGATATCCTTGCTCAATCATGGGACAATAGATGCTTCAGGGGAGGAAGGCTTCCAGTCCCATGACGCACCTAAATTGTACACTATCTTTATCTATATCTCCAAGGGAAGAGATTTATTTCTACCTCAGCTGATCTGTGCCCTAGATAAGAATTGAGAACCCTTGCAACTGAATCTTAGCATATTTCCCCAAATAGCTGACAAATAGCTTGCTAAGATTCAAAAGGGTTTGACAATGACATCCCACAGCAGCAAGTTCCTTGATGTGTACATTTTTTATCATTTTTAAATGTTACCTTCTTATCCCTATGAGCAGAGCTCGACAAATCAGGCAATCTACTCGCCCATGACGAGTAGATTTTAGCCTGGTACGGCCGTGCAGCGCGCTCTGCGCATGCGCAGTGTGCGCTTCCGTGCGGCTGGCAAGCAAGGCTCGCTGACGCTTGGTAAGCCTTGCCTATGAGTGACTTCAAATTGTTGTGTTATCAAAGAGGGAAACAGGAGCATAACATGGTCTCATGCAAACTATGCTTTAAAAACAAACAAGTAATTGTACTAGTTTTCCATTGTGTAAGGTTCTAGACTGAAAGCCATGGAAATTGAAGTCCTCTATTTATACATAAACTGGGTATATCACAGACAGCATCAATGCAAACTTCCCCAAGTGCCTACATGTACCTCAGCTCGTCTACAGGGAGCATAATCAAGTCTTCATAACCACTTAGCTCAGGTGATTGGGAATGACCAACTTAGAAACATAATTGGGATTGGTCTTGCTTTGGGCAGGAGGTTGGACTTGATGACCTCCTGAGGTCTCTTACAACTCTGTGATTCTATGAGGTCAGACTATCTAGAGCAGTGTTTCCCAAATGGTGTTCCGGGGAACCCTGGGGTTCCGTGAAGTGAAAATAAGGGTTCCATGAGAAAATTCCATTACAATAACATGTTGTTAAAATAATAATAATAATAATAATAATAATAAATATTAAGCATTTATTAATTTTATTTAAACCAGTTTTCATTTGTGTTGATCTCATGACCTTGTTTAGCATTTGTTTACTATTATCCTTACTTATTTGTGGTCTCCTTTTTCAGCTCCATATATAAGACTGCTATTAGGGGTTCCACAAAATTCTTTTGAGTTTAAAAGGGTTCTGTGGCCAAATAAAATTGGGAAACACTGATCTAGAGACATCTCTTTTGATTCTTCTCCCTTCCTAATACTAAATATTTTCAAGAGGAATAATGCATGACTGGCTTTTAGGATGTGCTGACCCCAATTATTTCATATTCTTGGTAGCCACATTTATAGCTACCAAGGGAGATTCTGCTCCCTTCTTCAAACCAGATGTGAAAATTTAGCTGGACTCCAGCCAATGGCAATACAGAAACAAGAGTGAAGAAAATAAGCTCACTGCAGCATACCTGTGAGGAAATCAATAGCCCAACATCACCTCCAGAATGAAACTGTCCAAGGCAGTGATGGGAAAATGATGCAGCTGCATTAGCTGACAGACTGCTTTCCTGCACAGAAACTAACAGAAGAGGCATAATGAACAACTCTGTGAAGGCAAGAACCCCATGTGCCTTATAGCTAAGCATAAACTTAACTCCTCACTGAAGGAAAATATGGAGAGTCATCCACTGAGAGAGGTTTAAAACATAGACATACAGAAATTCCATGAAGGGGATGAGAAGCGATGAAATCGGGGGGAGAGGGAGGAGATGACTCTCCAGCTCCTCCCAGAACAGGTTCTAGATAGCTGTCTAACTAAAACAGTGTGCTCTTTAAGCATGCAAATTACTTGCCTAACTGAAATAAGCTTAATAGACTCTAATGGTGACTGAACCACAATCTTGTACTTTACATATATATATACACACAATACTCATTTAGCCTGGCACCCTCCCTCCAGTGCAGGTTAGGGATGTAATAGTGTAGTCGATTAACCAATAAGCCAAAGCTTATCAGTTAATGCTATAGACTACATGCATTTCCCTCCCCGCCTCCATCTTATCAGTAAATTTTTTAGCAGGCTGGCCAGCAACCCGACTCAGTCCTGGCTCGTGCCAAGTCTGGGACCTATCCCTGCTGTGGCTCTGCATTTAAAGTGTATTAGGAGCCAGGTAGGCAGGCAGCCCAGCTCAGTTCTGGCTCGTGTGGTGTCTGGGAGCTCAGTCCCGCCCCTCACCCCGGACAGGGGCTGCTACCATCCCACGCTGTGCAGCCATGCAGGGTGACAGGCAGCCGAGGGGAGCTGGTTTTGAAACTGGCTCCCCTCATGGACCAGCTCCCGCCTGGCACACCATGCTACTGCCTCTGATAGAGATGTAGCAGCGCCGAGTCGCAGGGGGCTCCTCGGGAGCGGGGCTGGAGCATACTGGCTGCCGGCCTCATCCCCGGGGACTATAGAATAGTTGACTAACCAATAAAAATTCACGAGGTTAATCGACTATTCAATTAACCGATATTTAACATCCCTAGTGCAGGTTAATACATAGCACTTCTAGAGTTCTGTTCATCCATAACCATAAATAAGGCTAGATTTTGTCCTGCATATTTTTAGCAAACGGCATGAACAGGTCACAGGCATTAAAGAAATATTCACAAATGCCTGAGGGGCCTGGCTCAGAGTTGCAGGGTCTCCCACAACCTGTTGCAAATCCACACCCGCGGCTCTGCTGCCACAGCTCCGCAGCCCTGGCTCCTCCACTGCACAGGGTAGCACTGCATTCCAGGGTGCTAGCGGTGGCTGGGAGCTGTGCAGCACACCCCCCTCCCTCCTGCGCAGCAACTGGGAGCTGAGGAGCACCCCTGCTGCCCTCTGCTCCTGGAAGGCTGAGCTCCCACCAGCTCCCAACCAACAGCTGATTCCATGACTCCCGTGGCCTCGGTGACAAACCATAGCCCTAACCATAGCTCTATCCAAAGGGGAGTCTGATTACTTCCATTTCACACACGTGAAAACTGAGGCACAGAGGTGATGTGACTTGCTTACAGCAGGGTCAATGGTAGAGTTAGGGACAGAAGAAACATGTCCAAGTCCCATGCCCCATTCACTGGACCACTTTGCCTGGCCACAGCTACTCTGGAGCTACAACATATATTCTTACAGTACTGCAGCTAGCAGGTAGCAAAAACTAGAGGCAGCAAAGCAGAACTCATTTGTAAAAACCACAAGTGTCCCAATTTTAGTCTCAGATGTAGCAAAGTATGCAGAGGGCATACAGCAGAAACAGCAACTAGTTCCATCTCTGCTAGTAAACACACGGCAGCTCACTGAGAATTACTCACCTCTTTCCATTTTGTATTTGTTTATGATTGCCAGGAGATCAGGTGAAATGTCCTCACAAATTTTCTCCAGAGTTTGCAGGTTGTTCTCTGCTAAAAGGGCTTGTTTCTCCAGGAACGTCAGCAGCTCTAGACAGGACTGCTAGTGAAACAGGCGAGAGAGAAAAAGCGTTAAATGCACTTCAGCTGCTCCTTAAATCTTAGGAAGATCTACAAAAGCCTGATTTGCCTTCCAAAAAAAGGAATAGTCGGAGATTCTCCTGGAAAACATTGCTGAAATACAGACTACCTCATGAGCCTTACACTGCCTACTTTATACTTATCATCAGGTTTGCTTCTCACTACCAAGGAGTACTCCACAGTACACTGCTCAGCAATGGGGGGCAAATCATGTCACAGGGTTGTTCACTGACAGCTTCAAAATGTGGTTCGATTCTGCTTGCATAGCCAGAATCACACCGTATCAGTATGTATCACCACCAAGTAACCAGTTAATGTCATGTATCTTGGTCCATATACACAGACCAGAACCACCTGTGCTGAAACACAGCTGGGGGGATTAGTCTGGAATTATATTTCCCAGTGACCTCAGAAGGGATGTGAGTAGTTGACTAACCGATAAGACTGGGCTTTTGGGGTAGTGGAGTTGACTACTTGCATTCCCTGTCCCCGCTGCCTCTGTATCAGAGGCAGCAAGGAGGGGGAGCAGGAGCCTGTGCTGGAGCGGGGAGGAGGGGCAAGTTTAAAAGCTGGTTTCCCCCAGCATTGTCTCTGTGGTGCTGCCTGCTCCCCCTGCCCCGCGTTGCTGCCTCTATCAGAGGCACGAGGGGAGGCTGTGCTGGCAGCAGCCCTTATCTGCGGGGGGTCTCACCTCCCAGCTGAGAGCCCCCTGTGAATAGGGGCAGCTCCGGCCGGGCAGGCAGCCTTGCTCAGTTTCAGCTCACGCCGGGTCCAGGACCTACCCCTGCTATGGCTTCCCAGTTTAAATGTAGGAGGAGCTGGGCTGCCTGCCTGCCTGCCTGCCCAACTCTTACTACATTTTAATAGCAGAGGTAGCTCCCGGGCCCCGCGTGAGCCGGGACTGAGCACTTCTTCCTTTATCGACTCATCATGGAGTCGATAAAAATTCTATCAACTACAAGGTTAGCGAATTATCCACCTCTTAATATCGTTACTCAGATTCCATCACACAGCAAACGCAAGAGAGCTCCAATGCAGTGTAACTGTCCTTTGTGTAAATGAGAGCCATGCTCTATATTTCTTAGCCACCTTCTGCCATCACCTCCCCTCTGGCAGAAATATACCACTACCCAAATAGCTACTGCCCCACTAGGCTGGTGCCATATACTACCAAAGCCCTTGATCCACTCTCCCTCTTAGCCTCACTAACAGCCTCTAACACTCTAGGCACCTCTCCCCACATACCATACTTGTCAGCTTCTTTGGGAGCTTATCCCTCAAGAGAAACATGGCTCTTTGTAAATCCTCTCTGGTGATGTCCTCTGACAGTTCATACAGCATCTGCCTATGTGACACAGATCCTGTTAGGTGAACTAAATACCATGGTATACATACTGTACATCTGGCATTGGCACCTCATTACCTCTAGGCCAAACACCCAAAGCAATGCTCTCAGAGGATGGAAATGTATCCTTTGTTAACCTCACTACTGCTATGCCCCTTTAACGCTGCCACCCGCTTCACCTGTAGCACATCTGGGGATCTCCACTTAGCTTGCTCAGCAAAGATCAACATTCACAATGAGCAGAGTAAGGGAATGCTAGAGAGCTGCAGTGGGTGTATTACTAGAGCAGCATGAGCAGCAGCTAAGAACAAATTAATATGGAGGAACGGAGGGAATTTAGTTTGGGGTAGGAGGAAGATGGTATAAAAAATCCCAATCCAACCAAAGAATTCACAGAAGGAGAGGGACAAAGCAAAAGAGGAAGCACCAGAGTGATGGTAGTGAAAAGCTATAGGAGAGGAATGACAGTCTGTGGCACACTGTGTCAATTCTCTCCTCTTGCACAGCAGAGGGACAGAAGATGACCCAATGTACAGGTCCCAAGAATGCTCTGAGCTTGGTAGCCTCATCCCAAGAAAAAAATTATGAAATGTCAGTGATCAGTCTGAGTATCTGCACATTATAAAACCTAGTTACCAAGCCTCACTTCATAACTTTCAAATATCACACAGCAAGTAATAGATCAAAAACCTTTCAAGGCAGAAAATGTCTGGAGATACCCACATCCTAGAAAGCCCACCTGTAATTAGACACCTTCCCTTTGTGGCATAGATTTTCTCGTACTTCCTCCTTGGTGTAGCCAAGATCCTGGAGCAAGGAATGATACCTAATCCTGTACAGGAGCTCAGCTAGAATAAAAGTATCTTTCTTATTCAGAAAATCCTTAGTCATAAGGAACTGGAAAATGTCCTGAGCTGATTTTACAGCTTCTAGTTGTCTGAAGGAGAGCAAATCGCTACAGAGAAATTTCAGGGCCTCCACTTCTTCAGTTCCCAGATGTTCATTGATCATTAGAAGCTGCTTACGAAAGCTCACGCTCATGTTATCATCCATGCTGGAGTTTTCCTTTAGGAGATGCACTTCACAACCTGAGAATGGAAAAGAAGAGACCAATGTAATGAATCACATGGCACCGGAGCTAGGGCACAACTGAAATTTAGCTTCCAATAGGCGCTAAACAGCATCCTTTATACGCTGTGTTGGCCAGATACTTCTTCCAAACCCATCAGAAGCTAAATACTCAGCAGATGACCTAAATCCTTCCCCTGCTTCCTTCTCGTCTCTGAATCAAGAGAGGGAGGAGTCCCCCTTCCTCACTACAGTGTCTTTAAGGGAAGGGGAAGGTCAGAAAGAACAAGGTACCACTCTTGGCCCTGCAGCTTGATTATAACTTTCCATGGCTGTCAGAGGACAAGTGCCACTTCCTCCTGCCCCTGGCTTTGCACCATGGGTGCTCTACCACCCCTTTTGGTGACCAGGAGGCAGAGGAGGTACTCCTTCCAGCCCAAAGCTAGGGCTGGGTGAGCACCCAACTGGGGTGCTGCATAGCTTTTTTTGGGAGGGGAGCTCAGCCGCCGGAGGCAAGGGGGGGCACTGGAAATGTTTTCTGCCCTGGTGCCAAAATGGCTGGTGCCCCTCCAGGTTGAAACACAGCAGCGGCAACATTACCACCTGGAAGCCCAAGCTCTCAGTATTGCGGCAGCTGTACAGTGTACAACGCTTCTCCTACAACCACTATGCAGCTAGTCTGCTGTTCTGTACCAAATGTGAAAGCAAACGCATCCCCTTCCTACGCTCAATCCTTCCTCCTGAAAAAGTCCCGTGGAATTTAATAGGGATGAAACTAATATGGTTCTGGGGAAATGAATACAAAGCTCTTACATTTAATGGAGAATAATCTGTCTTCTCTTTCACTGCCAGGTCCCTTCTTTCCTGGACATGTTGAGGTTCCTCAGTGGACCACTACATGGCAGTAGGTCATCTTTAAGCCTTTCACCACAGCTACCTTGGAACAGAGATGAAAGGAAAAGTGGGAGATGATCAATCAACACTAAATTCAGAGTCAGTAGGTAAAAAGATGACTGCACGTGCGTGTGTCCAGAAGAAACTAGCAAGGCATTGCTGTGTGCAATGGTTCATGGGAAATTGGGGTGTTAAGTAATGATTAATTGGCTAATCAAGTAGTCGATGGAATTTCCATCGACTACTCCATTAGCCGATTTGGGGAGGAGTGAGGACGCTCGCTACCACCTCTAAGACTCTGCACTTTAAATGTAGTAAGAGCCCACATTACTCCTTGTCACACAGTCACACACCCCAACCCTCTGTACCACATATTGCAGCCCCCTCTTCCCTTATAAACAAAGTGGCTGCAATAAGGCATAGATGTAAGGCCTTTACTGGAGGACTGGTTTTTAAACAAGGACAGCAGGAGGGCCAGCATCCCAAAGCATAATCCTATCAAGAGATCCTAGGTACATACCCAGGGCAGCAACTGGCACTGTCTGCTTTGGCTGTCCTATTTTTACTGCACTAGCTAGATGAGCGCTACAGCAGGTGCATCCCTTCTAGCTGGGAATCACACCTCAGCTCCAAGTGCAGACCTATCAGTTAAAAGGAGCTACACAAACTTCCTTCCCTCCCATAGCCATATAGCCCCCATTCCCTGCACAACTTCTCCTGCCACCCACAGGCAGACCCTATTCTTCTCTGCCAGTGTGTCAAATCCCAATAAAACCACATAAAGCAAGGTGGATAAAAATCAATGATTAAAAAAATTGTTTTTTGATAAAATGCTTTTTGAGAGAAAAAAAACCTATCTAAAGATAGCTATAGCTCAAAGATATCTAATAATGGAATAGGGATTATAAATACTAATTCTATAGTACGAGACAATATCTGTATGTGATGCTTAAGAAACGTTTTGTAAATGAGTTCCAATAGTTTATGGATTAGCTTTCCAGAGGCTTCTGTGTAGGGTATTAGGTATTTCTATCTACCCAATGGGACTTAGTGCTCAGTCTAGAAGATACCATCGGAGATGCTTAGTTTTGCAGTTCTTACTAAGGATGTTAAAATGCAGTTCATTGACTAGTCAATGGAATTTCCATCAACTAGTCAATAGGCACTTCCGCATTCCTCCGTTGAAATGTACATTCCAAAGGAGGAATGCGGAACTCCACGGACAGCCCAGGGCCAACAGGAAGTCCTGCTGACTCCAGGCTGCAGCAGGTGCCTGCTTTGAAATGCACAAGAGTCCCCAGATGGGGCTCTTGTGCATTTCAAAGCCATGGAGCCCAGGGTTAGCTAACCCCGGGCTCCATGCTAAGCTGCATGTTGCTAAGAGCCCGGGGGTCAGCTGAGGACTCCCCAGCTGGCCCTGGGCTCCTCATGGCACTTTCCCAGAACTTGCCCTGGGTTCTGGGGAAGTGCTGCGCAGAGCCCAGGATCAGCTGGGGAGGCCCAGCTGATCCAGGGCTCTGCGTGGCAGTGGAACTCCCCAGCTGACCCCGGGTTCTGGGGAAATGCCATGCAGAGCCCGGAATCAACTGGGGAGTCCCCAGCTGACACCAGGATCCACTGCTGCCCCTTTGAAATGTGCGGAGATGGCATTTTAAAGGGGCAGCCACTGCACAGCTGATGCGCGGATCAGCAGTGCAGCGGCTGCTCCTTTGAAACGCCACCTTAGGGTACTTTGAAGTACCCCTTCCCCCTCCCTTTGCTGCCTCTATCTCAGAGGCAGAGGAGGGAGGGGAGGAGGAAATGAACTAGTCATTTAGTCAAAAGACTATCCGATAAGCATTTGCTTATCAGATCATCGACTAATCTTTAACATCCCTAGTTCTTACACTGTGGATTTGTGCTTCCAGAGATAACATGGTTGTTAACAGCAAAAATGTTTTAAAATGAGTAATATATAGAGATGAGAAACAACAGACCTGAATCCTATTGTCCTTTTGCAAATATGAGTACACAGAATCAGTCCCTTACCTCCCTCTCAAAAAGTGGAAAATTTTAAAAAGTTCAATGAAGGTAGGTGTTCATGCTAAATGCAAACAGTGCAACAAAGAAATGAAAAGCCTGGGGGCCCAAATAAAACATCATCATGAGAAGTTCCTTGTCAGGAAGAAGCTGTGTTGAAGATGATGAAAGGAAAATGTCTGAACATGCAGGATCTTCAGGTTGGTAAACTTTTATTTCATAAGCAACAAGGAGTCCTGTGGCACCTTATAGACTAACAGATTTATTGGAGCATAAGCTTTCGTGGGCAAAGACCCACTTCATCAGATGCATCTTCTGTCCTTGTGCCACTAGAACAAGGCAATTTTTCCATTTAATCTGTTCACATTCAGTGTCCCACAACCTTCAAAGAGACATGTAACCAATAATACTATTTCAATTAAGTTTCATCAAAAATGTTAATATTCCCTTCTGATCTTGAGTCAAAGTAGCAGAGAAGGGCTGTTTGTTCCCATCATCAGACCTAAGCACACCTACCACTCCACCGATCTCAAAATGCTAGTTGGCATTTCCAAGTTCTAGTCTAACAATCCACGTAGCTTCAGGGGGTAGCCAAGTTAGTCTGTTACACGAAAAAAAACAACAAATGGTCTGGTAGCACTTTGTTTTGTTAGTCTATAAAGTGCTACCAGACCATTTGTTGTTTTTTTTACCCTGCTTAGTATCTAACATCTCCATATGTGATTTTAAAGTTGGATGCTGGGTCTCCGGTTAGGAGCTAGTTCACCCTTCCTGGCCAAGTGCCACATTTTAATCAGAGAACTCATATTTCAGTCAGATAACATCCCAAAGAGCCAGGAAAGGGTGCTCATGGGAATGTTAAAGGCAGGGTGCCTGTTCCGATGCCAGCGGATTGTATAGACAGTGGGTGCTGGGTGCAGTGGGAGAAAGGGTGTTTGTGCAAGCTCTGAGTGTGGAGGGCTGGGTGTAAGATGTGAGAAGTTGTGCAGAAGTGGGGCTGCGGGTGGAAGGGGGCTGCAGGGAGTGGGGGCTGGGTGCCATGAGTGGCAG